TTACATGTTAATCATTGCGATCGATTCCCACTTTCTCCCCCAACCTTTACCTACCCTCATGGTAGCTCTACTTCCATTATTATTCCTGAGGGGTTTATCTGTCCTGGATTCCGGGTGTCGATAGCTCTTAGCCATACCAGTGTACATGCTCTAGTCTAGCCAGATTTGTAAGGTAGAACTGGGGTCATGATAGTGGGGATAAGGGTGGGGAGCATTTAAGAACTAGAGGAAAGTTGTGTGTTTCGTTGGTGCTATGCAACACCCTGACTGGCTTTCAGGATTCCTTTTAAGTCATAGGTTATTAGACATTCTTTATAAATACTACCTTTAATGCTAGTATGCTTAATTTTAAATAGAATTTTACAACTGCCTCACAAAAACCATTCCCATTTGATTTTCTGCTTGAACAGTCACCTCCCAAAAGCTGTACACCTGGATCAAAGCAGGAGTCTGGCAAAGGGAGTCATAGGACCGGAGGACAACACCGTCTGCCGGTCAAGTCCCATCAGCACTGTTACAGTTGGTCAGATGAGTCATTATCTATGACGCAGTCAGGTAAGAGTAATCATAAGAACTTGTCTCCTCTGTACTGCATTTGAATTTGTCTTGTACGTTGGCTAGAACTATGCTGAAATCTGTGACAGGAAATGTCAGGAACGTGGATTTCATTATTTCTAATACTGATCTTGGGATCACACTACAAGAAAAGACTATGATCTTTTCACATTTAAATAAATTCCATGATAGGTTCTTAGGTAATGTAATCCAAAGTACCTGATAAAAACTTGGTTGTTTCTGACATACAAAGGACTTTAAAAAGTTCAAGGAAAAATTCCAGTATCTTTCCATTTCATTTTTCCACAAACCTTTTAAAGCCTCTATGTAATGTACAGTATACTTCTGAGTCTTCAGAGTTTATGTTAAGTCTTACTATTATAATGTTAAATGTCTTATTCAATGTTAGTTTGTGGAAATAACATGAGTTTGTGGTCATGGGGAGGAGATATGAAGAGCAGTCATTTGTATACTATTTTTATACTCTTTCAATGATGCTTGTTTATTTTTAAAGCAGGTGTATAACAGTTATAATGAAGTGTAGTTTTGTAATTTTTCTCTGACTGGATGTCTACAACGTGAACGTGTTCACTATTGAAAGGAAAGTAGTTTTCATTAGGCAGTATTTCAGTTCTTTTGAATAACCTGAGAACTTTAAAAGCAGATGACAGAAGAGTCATTTTTTCCTTACACTCTCCTTTTATGTGGTTTGGAGACATTCTGCAGTGATTCACATTCAGCTTAAAATAATGTGTGCTTCACTATGATTTTAACATGTAACTTAGGGGAGTGTTAGTTTAATGTGACTGTCTTACCACCAGAAGATAATTTCTGACAATGCCTAGACTTCACTAGACTTCACTAACCTACGACATTCTCAGCTTCTAGTTGTTTATCTTAGCAAGGCAGAATGCCTTGAGATTTCTTTACAATTTCAAATACTACAATTAGAACGTGAAAAGCAATGTACAAAGTATATAGGAAAAGGAAGGAAACAAACCACTTAGTGTGTTTTATTCTTGCAGTAGCTCAGATTTCCTAATGTCACTTGTTAGTTTGATCTTTTGTTAAGGCTGTTGCATTAATACTTTTCATCAGGAGCCAGTAAGTTCGCTAAATCTTACAATTAAATTTTTTTTTAATCTCTTTCAGAAACTACATCTGACCAGAGTGACATTGAAGGCAGGATCAGAGCTCTGAAGGATGAGCTACGGAAAAGAAAGTCAGTGGTGGACCAGTTGAAGAAGGAACAGAAGAAAAGGCAAAAGGAAAGGCTGAAAGCCCAAGAAGCCAGTCTGCTCAAACAGCTAGAGGTTAGACATGGGAAGAAAGGTGTTGAATACTGGGACTTGTGTGTGTGCAGCCCCAAATAAGGTGGTGGGTTGGAAATTTTCAGTATTAGTTTGGCATCACATTTTATCCTAACTTGATAAAAATAAATGTGGTTATCACAAAAAAGAACTATCCCAATCAAAGCATTAAGTTAAACATTTAACATTAAAGTATATTAAGATATAAATATTAAATAAAATATTAAAACGAAGGGTGTTGTGTTTTGGCTGTTGGGAATAATAAAGACTAGCGCTATAGGAAAAAAAGATTGATATTTATGCTTTCTTAAGCAAAGAACCATTAGGTAAATGATTCTAGCTATTGGTATTGTTACTGCCTTTTTACTTTTTAAAGCAGAGTGCTGTTTCATGCCACAAAACGTATCAGTCCACTCTTTGTACTATTGCATGGCTCATACGTGGGACTAGCATGACTTTTCTTCCAGGCTGGAAACCAGATTTTAATAGCTTCCTCATTCTGTTTTCTCTTATCCCTTCAGTCACCATACCTCTTGATTCTTCTTTTATAAAGCTTCATGCTTGTGTCTCTTTCCATTCCTACTGGCTCTGAGGTGTCTGCACCTGGCTGCTTCCCTATTACACATAGGAGGATTATTCCAGCATCGTACCCCTAAAGGACCTCTGGGGGTGTACTGGGTGATACATTGGGCTTTTGACCACAGAGGTCAGCAGTTTGAGCCCACCAGCTGCTCTGCAGGAGAAAGCTTAGGCTTTTCCGTTCCTGTGAAGATCTACTACCCCAAACCCCCTAGGGGTAGTTCTTGTGCTTTAGAGTCGCCACGAGTCAGAACTAACTCAATGGCACGAGTTTGGTTTTGTAGTGTTCCTAACTCATCACATTCTTTATAGAACCAGATTGAGCCTCCCACTCGTTGCAAAGATCTCTGCCACAGCATTGTAAGAGGGGATCATTGCACTCTTACCTGAGCATTGCCAGTCAGAGGACATTATAGAACTTCTGAAGAATTGGTTGCATTGTTGTACTCTGGGTCTCTAATTCTTAAGAAGTGCTTTGCTATGTTTAGCCAAAATTGCTGCCCTTTTAATTTCTACCCGTGGGTCCTGGTTGGGTAATACCAAACACATCTGTTCCTCCTACATGTATGAATTAGATCATCAAATAGTCACATGGCTATTTTTGTGTCAGAAATTCTGTTAATTACTGTGCACATATTTTTCATTTAGTCTTCATAGGAAGAAGATGTAGCTCTTATCCTCCCTGTTTTACAGATGAGGTTATTTGTGTTTCAATGACAATGACTTACCCAGGGCCACACGACTAATATGTGATAGAGATAAAATTTCTATCTAGCTATAGTTCTCTATCCTCTGGCTTTACCATTCTACACACAGAAAAATGAGCCTAGCCGTGCTCGAGAAAACCAGTGTTTATACAGATCCACAGTAAACAGATGGCAACACGTTTGGCAGGTGGTGTAAATGTTTAGAAGCATGAAAGATACAATGGTAATACTGGGAGCCCATGTTGGGAAGTAGTAGAAAATTACATTTCAAAAGAAAGAGCATATTCAGAACTTTAGAAGTCAAACAAATGAGTTTGGAATGGTAGTCTTTACCCTGACTACATGTTTAGAATTAACTGGGGAACTTTTTTGAAAAATACAGAGCCATGTGCTCACTCTGAGAGCTTCCTATTTAATTGGTCCAGGCAAGAGCCTAGGGTTGAAAAGCAGGCAATGACGAGCATGGAAAGCTTCTGAGTCTCAGAGGAGGACAATGGATGAAGCACTGCTATAAAAGTACTGTGCTGTTGAGTAGATTTGCTCCAACATGGAAATACAGTAAGAAAGGACCTTTAGAGGGAAGGATGTTTTAAGGCTCCGTCTTAGTCCACATTTTATTAAATGGCTTAAGTAAAGGACGGTGACTTCTGTGTTTGGATCTTTAAGTCGCACAGTAAGACCTGCAAACCCGAGCCTGTGCAAGGCTGAAGCCTGTCAGAAAAGGAAAAGGCACATATTTCCACTAAAATAAGTGATAAGTGACAGGAAAGTGCTAAGACCACTCTGTTAAAATCAGAGAACTTTGGAGATCCAGAAAGACAAGGCTGTGCTGTCAAGTTCCAACTCACACAGCTCTTACTGGACCATACAAAGTGGAAACGCATACACAATATAGAACAGTGCATGTGAGGAAAACACGGGTTTATTTCATTGCAAATCTAATTAATGGACCGCACTCACATAACTCTCACACCGGAGAGATTTCTCATGTATACCTAGCTTGCCAGACCGTCTATCTGTAATGTATGTTTAATATCAAGGGCTACTTTCTCATAGCATTGAGAATTCAGATGAAAGTTGCATAGATGGTGTGGAGCCTGGAAACCACTTTACAAAGTGAAAGTTTTCGAGGAAGAAGTGTGTAACTCAGTAAAGAGAGAGATATCAGATGGGCTTCCTGAGATGTCATACAATATGTAATTAAATTAGTGAAGCCTTATTTTCAGAAAACATTGTTCATTTCTGAACTGTCATAGTACAGCCTGCCCCCACTTCTCTCTCTTCAAGATTTGTGCTCTTAGAGACTTTTCTCTTAAAAATATTTTTGCCATTGAAACACTCAGAACAGAAAGGCTAACCGTGAAATTGCCATGGAAATATTAGGATACAGTTTGGAGATAATTTTATAATCATTAACGAAGTACATTAATGTGTCCGGATATGAATTATTGTTTTGTAAGTATGAAACTTCCGTAGAGAGACTTTGTTTCCTAATTGAATATAAAGATTGCTGTTATCTGTATTGCTTGTACATAGATTATTTTAAGACAAGCATACAAGTCACTGTTAATAGAGTTCTGGGAATGAGATTGGGGGACCCCGAAGAGGGCTTTTTCTATTGCATCATTTATACTGTTTGACTACTTTATCATAAAATATACCAATTTATAATTTATAACAACTTTTAAGATTTGTTTAGTGACGGCTCTAATTTTTCTAAACTTAGTCATATGATGAATACATTAAGAAAACCGAAGCCGAGCTTAGCCGAGATTTGGAAACATCACCAACAGCCAAGCCTCAAATTAAAACACTCTCCTCAGCTTCTGAAAAACCCAGGATCAAGCCCCTTCCACTGCACAGGTAGAAATTCATGCTAACTTACCTATAGTCTGCCTTGTTTGAGAAAAGAATGACGAAAGATTCTTAAGGCAAAGTTATATTTTATGTAACTGAAATTATATGAGTAAAAATATTGATTGACCGATTTTTCCTCCCCCGTGGGAAAATTATATCACAAGCTTCACTCAAGTAAAAGTGTTATATCTGATATAATCTAATCATAACTCAAATTTGTGATACTATAGGTATAATTTAAAAAGTATATTTGTAATCCTGAAATCTGGTAGGCACAGTGAAGATGGTACTCTTATGTATCAAAAGTAGTGGCATTATAAGTTGGCATAACCTTTGAAAAGCAATTTGGCAATGTTTCAGAAATTTCTTTAAAACACAAATATATAGTCTTTCACTCAGTAATCCTATTTCTAGAATTCAAGTTGAGAAAATATGGGGTAAAAATAATCTTTGTCCACATGAATATGTTTGTTTGTCATTGCATCCTTGGTATTATGGAAGTAATCACATTGGAAGTAATATTTATGCCCCAAATTGGGTGACAGATGTTTCCATAAATTATGGCTTTATCCTGGCAACATAGCAAAAATAAATAAATACAGAAAATACTAAGCAGCAACATTCAAATAAGATATAATGTATAAAACGTCAAGTTGTAATGTTTACATTAAATTTTGAACAATGAGCAGAGGTTCAACAGGGAGATGGAGCTGAGAAATAGGGGTCATTTCAGAGAGAAGAGCATTTGTCAGTGTCTGCAACTGAAATACACATCATACAAGTGGACCATGATTGGAAATTGCTGGAGTTAAGGAGAAGAGACTAGAAAAATATAAACCAAATTGTGAAAGACATCTACTCCATTCTAAGTTGTTTGTTTTTTACTTTGCAGAAGATGTTGAACCTTTGAAAGGGTTTTGTTTTTTGTTTTGTTTCTTAAGTTTAATATTTTGGGATGTTTTTGTTTGTTGCAAGAAGATACAACTCATTACAGTTCATGTAGTGTTCCAGGTGTTTGAATCTTTGCGCCAGTACCAATTAACTATATAAACTTGCAAATTATTTAACTTCTCAGGATTTTGTTTTTAATAGGTACTTGTAACCCTATGAAACAGGAAGAAAAATAATAATACCCGACACATAAAATTGCTATGAGGGCTGATAGGCTTACTATTTGTAAAGCACTTAGAGCGGAAGCTAGCACGCAGGGAGCACTGTGTATTAGCTGTATTACCATTGCCACTGGTGTCATCAGAATACCTAGGAAAACAGTCAAAAGGAAAAATCATCTTATACCCAAGCATACTAAAATTAGAGAATTTCAGCAATTAGGTATGTTTACTTCCAGAATTTGTTATGTTTATTTTACATGTATTTTTGTTAGATGTATATTTTTTACTATATTAGAAACTATGATTTTAATTTCTATATAGTATGCTACTGAATTTCTTAATCATTTTCTTAACCAAGCTACTGAAGAAATTTAACCAGAGCGTGACATAATCACATTGATGTGTAGCAATCTTGCTGACCAAAATATAAAGAGAAGACAAAGGAATAAGCATCGACATAGGGAGGATCCAACATAAAGCCAGGTCTCAAGAATAAGCAGCTGTAATAAGATACAGAATAGGAGGTCAATTTTTAGACTGTTTAGGAGATAGAATAGAGTTTTGTTGGGGGGACCAAACAGAAACCCACTGCTGTGTTAGTCTGGGTTGCCTAGAGGAACAAACCCTGAGATGCTCATTTGTGTATAAGAAAGAGCTTTATATACAAGAGCAGTCGAATATTGAGAAAACATCCCAGCCCAGATCAAGTCCATAAGTCCAATATTAGCCCATATGATACCAACCTATATAGTCCTCTTCAGACTCACAAAACACATATGCAATGACACCAAATGCAGGAAGATCACAGGCCACTGGGTGGGAAGTCTTATGGATCCAGTGGCGTTGTAAACATCCCAGCGCTGGCAGGGGTCTCCATGTGGCTTCTCCAGCTACAGAGGTCTGATTCCACCAGCCTCTCTCCATGTCTTCTCCACAGGCATGTCTCATAGGGAGTGAGCAGAGAGAGAGTGTGTGTCCCACCTCCAAGGAGGAAATATAGGAGTTCCCAAAATCCTCAGGAGAAGGCCATGCTCACACAGAGATCTTATGGGCTATATCCTGATTGACAGGCTAGACTCCACCCCTACACTCTTAAGCCTCGAATTGACACCAGATTATGTAACCTACCACAAGCTTTATATAAGAGAATAATTGTATATTAAGAAAGCATTCCAGCTCAGTCCAGATCAAGTCCTTAAGTCTGATATTATCCCATTTGTCCGATACCAGTCTGTAAGCTCCTCTTCAGACTCACACATTGCAATGACGCTGAATTCAGGAAGATCACAGGCCAGTGGGTGGAAAGTCTTGTGGATCCAGTGACAGTGGAAACATCTCAACGCTGGCAGCGGTCTCCACGTGGCTCCTCCAACTCCAGGCCTCTAGTGTAGTTCCACTTGAATGTCTCACAGGGAGTGAGCGAGTGTCCTGCCTCCAGCAAACTACCGTATATATTTGAGTATATGCCTAGTTTTTTCAAGCACATTTTTAATGCAGTTTTTGTGGTACAATTAGGTGCTCAGAGAATATTCAGGTCAGCTTATACTCAAGTATATATAGTATTTATTTCTGTAGCTGCTCCAAATGAAGTCATCAAGCTGCAGCCTGATTGACAGGCTAAACTCCACCCCTTCACTCTTAATAGTCTCAAATTGACAATAGATTATGTAACAACCACAACTCCCAAGTTTCTGTCTTTGGTAGTTTTGGTTAGGTAGTTGGTTTTATTAAACTAAGGGAAAGCAGGGAGTTTTGTGGAAAGCTTATAATTAATGGTTTTTAAAAAGTTATTTTTGAGGTGCCTGTGTGGCATAATGGGTTACATATTAGGCTGCTAACTGCAAGGTCAGTAGTTTAAAACCACCAGCTTCTCCCCAGGAGAAAGGTGAGGCTTTCTACTCCCTTTAAAGATTTACAGTCTCAGAAACCCACAAGAACAATTCTACTCTATCCTATAGGGTTGCTGTGAGCCAGAATCAACTGGACAGTAAGTTTTGTGTTGTTGTGCTGTGATTTAAGTGACTATTTCATCTAAGGAGTCTTGGTCACTTAGTGGGTTAAACTTTGGGCTGTCAAGGTTGGCAGTTGAAACCCACCAGCGCCTCTGCAGGAGAAAGATGAGTCTGTCTGCTCTCATAAAGAGTTGCAGTCTCCAAAGCCCTATTGAGCAGTTCTACTCTGTACTATAGAATCACTATGAATTGAAGTCAAACAGCAGTAGAGTTTTTGGTGATTCATCTGTGAAGTTAGAAAGGAAATCTGATAGCCTTTGAGATACGGTCTTTTAGCATATAAATGGTTGTTACGCCTTAATAAAGCAACACATGCATTCAGAAAGAATAAAAGGGAGGGAGCCAGACGCTACGGATGAAGAAATAGAAACATTTAAAGGGCATTGTATGAAAGTAGTAAAACTCACTACCATCAAGTGGATTCTGAATCAGCAACCCTAAAAGATAGAGTAGAACTGCCCCTGTGGGATCCTGAGACTGAATCTTTATTGAGATGGAAAGCCTTTGCTCATAGTGCAGCCAAAGTGTAACCAGCAACTCCATCAGGACTCCAAGAAGGTAGACGGGAAGCTAAACATTATAGCTTAGCAAGTGACGAGGAGACAGAAAACAAACATTGAGCATGTATGAGGGGGTACCCCCAAAACACCGGGCAAAAGCACTGCTGGGCAGAGCTTTTGTAGTACACGTTTTTCCCACTAGGCAAGCATGGAGCAACTCACTCTGAGTTAGTGCACCAAGTGGCATTGCCCAGGAAGGTTCTCTCTGGTCACAGTGAATTTTTTCATAAAAGCAGTTTCACTTGAACCTTGTTTTTTGTGATGGGTGATTTAAGAGAAGAGCGTGTGGCTGTGAAATTTTGTTTCCTGCTCAGGAAAACTGCCACAGACTGTTGTGATGTTGAGCACAGCTTACACGGACAGCGCTGTGGGAAAAACTCAAGTGTACAAGTGGTTTTTTCGTTTCAAAAAAGGTAAAATGTTGATTGATGACACACTTCATTCTGGATGTCTGTCAGCTTCTCAAATGGACAAAAGTGTCGACACAATCTGTGCGCGTGCTCGAAGACTGATGACGGACCATTGAAAAGATGGGGAAGCTATCCGGACGATCTTGGAGCTCGGTTCGGTGACTTTGAATGAAAGCTTTGGGAATGAGAAGGGTCGCTGGGAAACTTGTGCCTTGAGTAGCGACTAACCAGCAAAAGGCGCGTCCCGGGGAACCATGACGAGCTTGGAAAGCACAGCTCCAAGGCAACCCAGACTGTTTCCCCAAAGTCATTGCTGGTGACAGACAGGGCGCCATTCTTACCACCCCAAAAGCAAACATCAGTGAAGCCAGTGAAAAGCGCCAATGTCCCCTCGCCAAAAAGCTCCTCAAATGAAGTCAAAGAACAAGACGCTCATTTGTTGTTTTTTGTTTTCGTTTTATGTGAAGTGAATGGTGAATTTGGAGTTCGTTCCACCAGGTCAGATTGTTAATCAAGCTTTCTATTTAGAAGTTCTGAAAAGATTGCCTAACAGTTTGTGACAAGAAAGACCTGATTTGTAGCAGATGGGAGGACTGGTTTTGCCACCACAACAATGTACCTGCTCACACAGCCATCTTAGTTTTCACCAGTTTTGCCCAAAAATTGGATATCTCTCTTGCCCCATGCACCTTATTCACTTGACCTGGCTCCATGTGACTTCCTTTTGTTTCCGAGAATAAAGCATGACATGAAAAAACGACTTGAAGACGTAGAAGTGAAGAAAAAAAACGAGGGAGGTGCTGTCACCCATCCAAACAGATGAGCTTGAAAACTGTTTCCAAGAATGGAATATCAGATTTGACAAAAGTATTAAGCATAATGGAGAATACTTTGAAGATGATAAGGTGGTTTCGTAAAAAAATTTAAATATATAGCTTTGAAAATTTGTTTTTCATTTTTTGGTTGATACGCCCTAGTAGCTCTTTCTATTAAATATAAAGAAGAGGAGATAGGAATTTTGGGAATAATGAGGGCGACAAATGTATAGATGTGCTTTACACAATTGATCTATGTATTGTGATGAATTGTATGAACCTCAATAAATTGAATTTTTTTAAAACAAAGAAAAGAAAACAAGCATGCATATACCCTTTATTTGCACTCCACAGAAAAGCCATGAGTCAATAAAGCTAATTATAATTTTTCTAACTAAAAAAAAAAAAGAAGAGGAGATAAGAGTATGGACAGAGGAACGAAGAATTAAGGGAGGACATGTTTGTTTGTGTGACTTGAGGCTAATTTGTAAGATACAGGGAGAGTCCCTAGATTGAAGAACCGGAGAGTCTAGAAAAGAGAATGGACACTTGTAGGAGCTCGGCTCAGTCTACGAGGCTGTGGAAAGCGATGGAATCTAGAGCGAAAAGAGGTGTGAACAACCAGTTTTAAACAAGTTTGAGACCAGGGAGTTGGGGCAGCTAAAGTTAAAGACAAATATGTAGATAAAAAGCTTGAAAATAACATCTATGTCCTATGGCTTCTGGTGTTCTCAGTAAAACAGACGCAACACCCTCCACTGAGAGTGATGAGGTTTAATGAACTAGGCAAAGGTTGGGACACCTCATGTGGAGAAGAGGAGAAAAGAGCCATCTATAGACAACTGTTCTTTCATATCAGTTATTATACTACTTGTAATATATTTATTTCTATTCATTAATGTTTCTGTTTCAGACCTGAAACAACCAAAAATTGGAAATCCCTGACAGAGTCAGAACATTCAAGAGGTTCTCTGGAGTCTGTTGCTACACACATTGGTATGTTACTGTGGAAATGATTAGATTATACCTGCGTAGGTTAGGGATTGGTATGTCAATGTGGAAATGATTAGACTATACAATACTGTGTCAGTTTTGGATTTGTTCAGATGCCTCTTCTACATCTATAGCAAGAAGTTATGTGAATCAGTCTTTAGTGTTCCAATTTCATGGTAAAAACAAGCAAAAAGAAAGAAAACCATGGGGAACAAAATGTAATTCAATTTGGAAATAAAACAAAATTGCACCATGAAAAAGCTTGCACCTTAATAGCAAAATAGAAATTGGAATTCAAAGCATTTAATTCATAGTATGTTAGCTCATCAAATCATTCATACTTTCATCTTATTTTGCAAATTTGACTATTTACAGAAAATTTTCCTTTTTACATTAGAGAGAAAGCACAGTTGAAGTTCCCAGGAATATTTATTCTTTTAGAAATATATTTCTTCCTTTCCCATTGATGACCTATTTGAAAAATGTATGTTCTGTTCATTATATAATGCTGGTTTGATGTGAACAGGAGATAATCACCCAAGACAAGCACCCTTAAGAAATTACTTCAAACCTAAAATTTTCAAACTCATTTAAATTCTCTTCTGGTACAACAAAATAAAATAGTTTCATAAAATAGAATAGATTAATGGTACAAAAAACAAATATTTTTTTTTTTTGGTAACTAAGATAGATCATATTTCCTGACCAGAGTTCTTCCTTACTAAGATTTAACTTTTGTTTAAACTTGTGTTATAAAAATCAAAATATTATGATCACGTAATTTTGATGGGGTATTTTTGCTTTTTCTTCCAGATGCTGGACTTACAGGTTCTGAGAGATCCGCATCAGAAAGATCTTTATCATCGTATGCAAAAAGAGTGGCGGAATTGGATAATCAAGCAGAAGAGCGTTTTCAGACCTCATCTCCGGTTCTTAGATCAAGGAAAGTTAGGGCGGAATCTGGAGATTCTCTAGAAAATGTAACTTCATTACACCTGCTAAATGCCCCTAATAGAATTCTTGATGTGTCTGCACCCAAGGTTGATGAAAAACCCAATAAAAAATCAGTAATACCAGAAGAGGCAGAATATGCAACGTTAGAGGAGAGTGAGATTGAAGGTGCTGATGTCTTCTTGAAATTAGACCTGCAACAAGGAGATTCATCTGAAATTCTTTCAAAGAAAGATGTTCCTTTAGACCCTGTAAATGTTCAGAAAGATTTGGTTAGATTAGTTATAGAAAATCTTCATAAAAAAGAGGAAATGTTGATGGAGCGAGAGTTGGGAAACAGCCTTCCTGAACAAAGTATCAAGGAAAGGGCCTCATCTCTGTCAGAACATCACTCCATCCCCAGAGAGCTGTCCTACTCCGGAGATTCTGAAGCAGCATCTTTCCCGAAAGACAGTTCACCAGAGTTGTACAAAGATGACTTTGAGTTACCATCTGTGCTGTCACTCAGGAAAGATTCCCAGCCACTGAGGAGCTCTGGAAGTAGAGCTACCAGCTCCGGCAGTGACGATGAGATTAGTGAGTGCCTGAGTGAGAAGAGCCTTTCCCTTCAGAGCACTGTGCACTCCGAGAGGCTGTTGGAGCTCAAGTCCCCCACCGAGCTCATGAGAAGTAAGGAGCGCAGTGATGTCGAACACGAACAGGGGGTTTCTGAGTGCCTTTCCTTGGCTGCAGTTACTGTCATGGACGAGTTGCTTGATTTCCACATTGGTGATAGGGTGCTCATTGGCAATTTTCAACCAGGAACTCTTCGGTTCAAAGGTGTGACTAGTTTTGCTCAAGGATTTTGGGCTGGAGTGGAATTGGATAAAGCCGAAGGAAATAACAATGGAACATATGATGGTATTGTATACTTTGTCTGCAAAGAGAAGCATGGTATTTTTGCACCTCCCCAAAAAATATCTCACATTCCAGAAAACTATGATGACTATATCGACCTAAATGAAGATGAAGACTCTTATTCAGATGAGCAATACAGTAATCAAAAACCAAAAGATGCAGAGGGCTCCAAGTCTGATAGAGAAGATGATACAATTGAATATTTTTATGAGAAATCTCTGCCTCGCATGCATGACAAAGAAGCCTCAGTTGACAAAAGCCTTAAAATAATAACGGAAAACCTACAGGGGATTTCTGAGGCCCTTGAAGCCCAGGCTCACCAGCAGTCTGAAGTGGATTCACGGCTTTCCTCAAAGGAAAGCAAAGACCTTATTTCTGATGCCACGGAGAAGGGATCCATTGCTGTTGAAGAGGATACTTTAGACAATACCTTTTCAGAAGAATTGCAGAAGCAACAGCAGTTTATAGAAGGTGAAGAGAACCTACATTCTGAGGTTTCACAAAAGCTTTCTACTCCACTGCTGGATCTTTTGAGGAGAGAAAAGAAACAATTGGAATCCCAGCTGAGGTCATCCCTGAGTGAGGACAAAAAATCAAAGCAACCACTCGACACAGTCAGCTTACTTACAGACAGTTTGCTGAACGTTTTTGTGACGGACACAGTCAGACAACTGCAGCAAATTAAACGAGCGAGGGATGAGAAAATCCACCTTAGCAACCAGGAGCTTCTTGATGGCCAAGCGATAGTGGTTCCCCAAGACCTGGTCCAGAATCTTGAGGAGCAGTCACCAAGCGTTCCAAATTACTTAAGGCCTGACTTGGAAGATGAGAAAGAAGAGATTTCTTCTCCAGATTTGTGCCCCAGACCCGTAAGTATTCTCAGGGGGGAAAAAAAAAAAAAAGTCAATTTCCCGTACCTCTGTCTGGCGTTTTAACTTTGTGACTTCTGATAGTTTTTGCTTGTTTATTTCTAGCATGTTTATTAAGCAAAGATAGCTGTACTAGTTTTCAAATGTTAAGTGCCCTGTAGCTATTGTTCTGTCTGATGTGTAATTGCCCTCTGTTATGTCATGAGTAGTCACTAGAGTGTCACAAACACTGACAGGTTGATGGGAACTGAAACATCCCCTTAAACTGCTGAGTTGACAGCCTTGATTACTGGCCACAGATTAGATCTCCTTGTAGATTTACTATAAAGATTTGTCCCATGGAGTTTTACCAATTGTTCACAGCTCCATTCTTGAAGAAACCCTTTTTTTGCCTCTAAAGTGATATGTCTGCCTATTAGTCATGGATGCTCTGCAGATGTTACCAGTTATGATGTTGATCCTGCTAAAACTGAAATATGTCCACTATGACATACACTCAGACCATCAACTTATCTAGGATGCCTATGGAGCATTGAGCAAAAGTAATGATTTTGAGTAACTTGAGCCAGATAATCACCAGAGGTGAGAAATTTGACATCCCATTTCCATAACCCACACAGTCCCTCAAAAACTGAGTGATAATGATACACAAAAGGAAAAGAAAAACCTGATAGACGTTGATCAGAATTCAGTTAAAGATATAAATAGACTTGTGGGACACCAGATAATTTTTATTTAAATTATTTACTGGTAAGCACCACATCGTTTTTGTTTTGCTTATCTAAATGATCTGAAGTCACTAAATTCCATTTGAATGGTTTCACCCTATAGGAAAGCCCGGTGTTTGGTGCCAGTGGACAGGAGGAGCTTGCTAAGAGACTTGCTGAACTTGAGATCAGCCGGGAGTTCCTGAACGTGTTAGCAGATGATCAAGACTGGTTTGATGAAGACTTCGGTTTGAGTTCCTCTCACAAAACCCCCCAAAAGAAGGTAGAAGAAGCTATTGTGCCTGTGATGGCAGAATCCAAACGACCCCCCCCAAAACCCTGGGGCACGTTACTGGCAGTCCCACATACTACAGCGGAAGTAGAAATTCTGGTAAATGATGCGGCAGAAGAACTCTGGAAATGGAAAGAATTGGGTCATGATCTGCGTGGCGTCAGTATTCCTGCAAGGCTGCTTGGCTGTGTCAGCAAGGGTCAAGATATAGAAAGCACTAGTAAGAGGGTCTACAAACAGGTATTTGACACAGGAGGAGAATTCTAATTTTTAAACTTGTCTCCATTGTCTGTTATTTGGATTCTTAACCATTTTGTTTTTCTCTCTCAAGGCCGTTTTTGATCTAACAAAAGAGATTTTTGAGGAAATATTTGCTGAGGATCCCAACTTGAATCAGCCAGTCTGGATGAAACCATGTAGAATTAACTCTCATTACTTCCGACGAGTGAAAAATCCAAATGATCTTGATGAAATCAAGGTAAACTCACAGCTAGAGAAGACCTCCTTTTTTGACGGGCTGTTCATTTGCACGGGCCTATCAACGCCGTCAGACAGGTCCCCCTTGTTTACTCACCTTTATCTCCTGAAGGCCTCCCTCACGCCGAGGGACCATCCTTAGTGAAGGCGACAGCGGTTTTTCATAGCCAGTGCTTCCAGTTCTCTTCAGTTTCAGAAATACCTTCGAAAGCCCTCATGAACGTCTGAAATCTGAATAACAGCGAACTTTTATATACCATTTTGTCCTGTATATGTGATGAAGTTTAACTAATAAATTAGATTCAGTTAGAGATTAACAACAGTAATTTTTTAAAATAGACTAATTATAACATTACACCATAATAAAAGTCCCATGAAGGGCACAAGATTTCATCATGCTCTGGACTCATTTAACACTTTCGGATCATGGTTGAGCACAGATGAATGAAACTGTAGAAAACAAATGGTAGATAACTACTGTGGTTGCATCACAGTCCACGTGGTCCACAAAGCCTAAAATACTTACTACCTGGCCCTTTAAAGAGACGTTTACTAACCTCTATCTTCAATTAAGTAGAAAAAACATATACGGTTCTCACAGATGAATTATACTCATTATCATTAAACAAGCATCATTAATTCATTGTCACTTTGAGAGACAGAGTACCAGAACTATCTGGGGAGGTTTCAGAATAAGCTCTGTGTGTCATTCCTTCCAGCCCACCACAGTCAGTAAATTGTTGAGTGTCCATGGGAGTAGATGTTAGTGCAGCAGGGATTAGTGGAGTTTGGGACACCTCAGTAGTCTGAGAATCTCCTAGGTGGCTTGGAAAGTATCCCTTCCCCCAATAAGAACATTGATGCTTTTGACAGAACAACCGTGAAAAGTAATCAAACAAATTAATTTAAAAATAGTGAAGAACAAATTAAGTTCAAATAAAGCAGGAGACAATATAAACTAGAATTCATCAAAGTGCAAAGATCACAAGAATACAGAGTAGACCTGCCCAGTAGTTTTAACATTGAAATAGTATTTTGTAAAGATTTTTTTTGGTGTGTGTCTGTGTGTGTGCGTGTGTAAGTAAAGTTTTTTAAAGGTGATAGTTCAGATTTCGTTAGCAATCAAATTCTCTTGTTTCTCATACTGAAGTGTTGGTGATATTTTTTGTTATATGTCAATCTTGGTATTTCAATAAAAAAATACCCCAGCTAAAATTTTAAACTTTTCTCACATGACGTTGGTCCCACTAATGTCACTGCAGGTTGTCAGATTCTTCAGTAGTTATTGTCAGCTCAAAGTTTTATTCTCGTACTTGTGGGCTGAAAAGTGGCTTTCTTTGCAGATTAATCAACGGTTCTACATTTGTATGTGGGGACCTATGTGTTGTATAAAAACAAAATTTCTTTAAATGAATAGAGTCTGAGCGTTTGAAATGCTTTTCTTTTCATATTAAATGAAACTTAAGTGGAAGAAATTTATGATCTTTTATTATAAATATTATTTGCTAGCATTGTAATCTTTGTATTGCATTCTAAGTACATAAATATTGAGAACTTTGTGTTTCACTCATTCCTTATTTCTCATAGAACTTCATAGCAACTGAAGTACTCAAGTTGTTCAGTCTTAAAAAGGAATCAAACCACAAAACAGATTGGCAGAAAATGATGAAATTTGGAAGAAAGAAGAGAGACCGAGTAGATCATATCCTGGTCAGTGTGTACAACTGGGCTGTGCTTATTTCAAACTCAGAGTGTAGATAAGAGTCTGAACGGAAAGAAATGTCGTGTACCTAAAGTCTGTGATGGCAGATCCCACAGCCTGCCCTTGCTGGTTCAGGAGCTGCTCGCCTTTGGACTCAGCCGAGCAATCATTCATATAACTAGCAGTCTGAATAGCTTGAGCTAACCTGCCAGCTCTTCGTGCATCTTTGCTTTGCAGGAATGAAATTGTTCTCATGTTTCTACAGTATTTTAAAGCTGGAATTATTATTTTCCAAGATAATTGGAAAATATCTTAGAAGGAAAGAAGAACACATCAGGAGAGACTCTTCCACCCTGTCTGTTATTAGATCCTGTGCCCTGTCCACCTCCGTGGACACCTTGGGTCAGAGATCGTGTAACTGAGGGCCACTGTTAAAATGGGAAGAAACCGACATAAGCCCTGCCTTCATGAATTTACAGTTTGGTGGCAGAAGAATGCTTTGGTGTACACAGATGTGTAGTAAATTAAGAGAGACAAATAGAAGGCTCGGGAGTTGTAATGAATGCATAAACCCAAGGAAACGGGTCTGATGAGAACAGTTAGGACAAGCTTCTCCAAGGCAGTGACGTGAGTGCAGATCTTAAAGATGAGTACGTGTTTATTGAGCTGCAGTTCAGGGAGAGCAAGCCTGGCGTGCAGAGGCCTTGAAATGGCAAGAATCGTGAGTTTGAGCTGAAATGTCAGCATGGTGGGAGCGTTAAGAAGCAGGTGGCATGAGCTAACTCTAGAGAGCTAGATCGAGCCTATATCCTATAGCGCTTTTAAAGCTATGGTAAGGATTTTGAAACATCTTAAAAGCAGGGAAAGGTTTTAAGCAAGAGAAATAACTATATCAGATTTATGGGTGTTTTTTTTTTAAATCACTGAAACAGTACTTCAAAGGGACCAAGAATGTGGAGGAAGGAACGCCAACTAAAGGACACTTAGGTGTATTAAAGCAAACTTCCAAAGTCAATTGATCTTGAGCACATCTCAGAGTAAATGAGGAAACTGGCATCGGTAGTAGATCAGTGTCAAACGTGGAAAGCAGAGCCTGCAGCTAAGGCCCAGATAAGTGTCACTTCACATGCTTATAAAAATGCCATGTCTATAGTGGTTGGATTGAATGTATTGGGGGGGAAGGTAGCAGTTTGGAGCCATCTCCAAACCTGAGCTATTAATCAGAAATAAGTAATTTTCCTAGGAATTGAACAGTAAGCAAATTAATAGATCCACAGCTCTTAATTAAATGCACCAAACAACACGGTATTGTCCTTGACTGTGGAGGCAGCCAGCAGTGCTGCATAGGTTACTTAGTAGAGCTATTTCTCCAGCAGTTAGCAGAAAGTTCCCAAATACTCAACAAACAAATACATGGACTGCTTCTTTTGTAAGTATAAGATGATTCTCGCTTGGATAAGAGTCATGTATTAGAATTGATGAGAGTTAGAAATTGGGAAGCAATCACAAAATACATATTTTAATAATATCCCCTTTTTCTGGTTATAAAAGAATTTTCCGTTTTCTACAGAGAGGCATGAGCCTATAGAGTTATGTACATTACAAATATTTTAAATTAGATTTTATCCACCCTAAACCTATCTATATATTTATATGAGAACTATTTTTCTAATATAGTTAATATAGTCTTACTCTTATCATTTTCTTGAAACTGATGGTATTTTCAGCTAGTTTTCTTGTGTAGGATTTTTTTTTTCCAATTAAGAACGTTGCAAAGAAGACCAAACTAAAAAACCAGACTCACTACCTTCGTATCCGTCCTATCTCATGTCAACCTCATAGCACAGGGTAGAACCACCCCGGTGGGGTTTTGAGATCGTAACTTTACCGGAGTAGAAAACTTCACCTGGTGGTTTCTTCACTGCTCGCCATGCGGTGAGCAGCCCAAGACATAACCATTGCGCCACCAGGGCCCCTCTCAAAGATGAAAGTAGTTAATATTTTGATTTGCCAATACTGTAGACAAAAGAAGCCATCTTAGAAATTTGTTTAAATTTCTCGTTATTCCTACTTTTTTTTTTTTTTTCTAGAATTTCAACTGTAGGTAATTTCACTTAAGCACTCTCATATGAAGGGTCCTAAAACTTCCAGAGCTTCATTTAAATTTTCAGATCTCCTAAACCCCCAAATACTCTAATGTAGGTAAGTGCCAACAGAGTGGTTCTCAACCTCTAGGTTGTGACCCCTTTGGGGGTCGAACGACCCTTTGACAGGGGTCGCCCAAGACCATTGGAAAACACATAAATATTTCACAATATGTAATTACATATTGTTTTGTGATTAATCACTATGCTTTAATTATATTTAATGATGTCCAATTTGTAACAATGAAAATACATCCTGCATATCAGGTATTTACAGGATGATTCATAACAGTAGCAAAGTTACAGTTATGAAGGAGCAACGAAAATAACTTTATGGTTGGGGGTCACTACAACATGAGGAACTATGAAGGGGCCGCGGCATTGGGAAGATTGAGACCCACTGCTCTAACAGTTGAGAGCAAGGTGTCCGTAATGACACTTCCTATAAGATTCCAGTCTTGTCTCTACTAACTTCTTAACTCGGTGACTTTGGGGAAGCTAGATGCGCACCTGCCTCATAGATGAAGGGTGTTAAATGGCATATAAGAGTGCCTCTAAAATTTTAAGATATTATTGCCTAATAATTAGATTGATGTATAATAATGTTCTCATTTTATCCCTCCTCTCTCTCTCTCTCTAAATAACCAAGGTCCAAATTATGCTATATAAAATTAGGGTCACAATATAACTCAGTGCTATAATATAGAGCTGCAAAGATTTTTTTAATGTATTAAAGTAAACATTTCTTTTTTCCCCCTCATGTGTTAAATGTATATTTGAAAATTTATGTCATTCAACATTTTTTATGTATACACTTCAATGGCATTATGTGTATCATATAATCACATCACTACTATTTCCCAATTTTCATCACCCTTAATAGAAACGCAGGTGTTAACACAACAGTTAAGCATTTGGCTCGTAGCTAGAAGGTTCAAACCCACTCTCCAGCTATGGGGAGAGAGACCTGGAGTCTATTGATTTAACAATTACAGCCTAAAAGAAACCCTGTGGGGCAGTCTGCACTGTCACCAGGGCAGGGGGTCACTAGTAGTCAAAACAGACTCCATAGTGCCTAACAACAGCGGAAACTCAGTGCCCCTTACACACTAACTGCCCGCTTTCCCTCGCTTTTGCCCCCAGTAACCACTAACAAACTTTTATCTCTAGATTTTCCCATTCTAGATATTTCATATAATGGGATCATCTACTTTATTTCTTTTTTTCACTTGGCATGTTTTTAAGGTTAGTCCATATGATAGCATATATTAGAACTTCATTTGTATTTATGATAGTGTAGTATTTTGTCGTATGCATATGTGAGTACAGTGTTATGTTTAGCCATTCATCTGTTGCTAGGCTTTTAGGTTGTTTCCACCTTTTGCCTATTGTGAATAGTGCTACCCTGGAAGGTGGTATACAATAGTTTGTGTCGAGTCGTTTAGAAGCCCTGATGGTCCTGTCAAGTTCGTGTTGGGTTGCTAACATTAAGGTCATCAGTTCAAACTCACCTGTCACTCCATGGGAGAAAGATGAGGCTCTCTGCTTCCATAAAGAATTTTCAAAGCCTCTATAGGGTCCCTGTGAGTAGGAATTGACACAATGGCAGTGGGTTTAGGGTTTTGGGTTTTTGGGTCTGGCCAAGTCTTTTGGGTATATACCTAAGAGTGGAATTGCTGAGTCATATGGTAATACTGTTCTGTTTTGGGGTTTTTTTGAGGAACCACTGAAATGTTTTCCACAGTGGCTACCTATTTCATAGTCCTGCCAAAAGTGAATGAGCGTTTTAACTTCTCCACAACCTTCACCAACACTTTTCTGTTTTTCTAATATTAGTCATCCTAGTGGGTGGGAACAGCAGGGGAAACAAACCAACTCCAGAGTCATCCACAGAGTGAACCTGGGACCTCTTGCACCTGAAGTGAGAAGCACACCCCTAGACCAGTCAGCCCCTGGTAGTGTAGTGGGTACAATTTGAACTGCTAACTGTAAGAGGAGGAGTTCTAGAACCTACCACCTGCTCCATGGGAGAGAGATGAGGCTTTCTGCTCCTGTAAAGTTTTAGGGCCTCAGAAACCCACAGGAGCAATTCTACTCTGTCCAAGAGTCCGAATCAACTCAGTAGCAGTGTTTGTTTGTTGTTTGTTTGTTTATATCTTGATTTGGATGGGCAGAGGATGCTTTGCATGATTACAGACTTTGATTGTATTGTTTTGTTGTCTCTCAGATGTTCCAGATACACTGGAGCATAATCCATGTACACCAGAAAGTGTGCATTATGTTATTTTGGGGTGGAGTGCCCCTGTATGCAATGGACTTCCAAAAGTGTGTGAAAAAATTCCATTAACTTTCCATTTCAGTTTTCCACAAATTTTTGATGCCCCTTGTGTTAACCTAGGTTGACGCAGGAAGATCACAGGCCAGTGGGTGGAAAGTCTTGTGGATCTAGTGGCAGTGGAAGCATCCCAGTGCTGGTGTTTGTCTCCACATGGCTCCTCTAGCTCCAGGGCTCTGGCTCCATCAGAGTAGCTCCATGTGGCTTGTCAACAGGAAAGTCTTGCAGGGAGAGTGTGTCTTCCTCCAAGGAAGAAGACAGGAATTCCCAGAATCCTCAGCAAAAGGCCATACCCATACAGAAGCCTCTTTGGCTATGACCTGCTTGACAGGCTAGACTCCACCTCTTCGCTGAAGTTGACAGTGTATTATGTAACTGCCACAAACCACCCCTTGTCAACTTAGACACTTTTACATAACTCTTTAGACATACATAATTTTTTAACAAAACAATAATAAAATCATAGCTTTACTTAACATAACTCTTTAGACATATATAATTTTTTAAAACAACAATAATAAAATCATAGCGGTATCTAACAGGATAAAACTAAAATGCATACAATTCAATATGTGCCAAAGCATCATTTAAACATAAGATTCTATAAGTGAACAATATTTTCTGCCTAACAATCGCAGTTAAGTAGCGCTTACACCTTAATCCTATGAATATATTTCTTCACCTATGAAAGTTTGTAAGCCAGCTACTTTATGCCTTTATCCACCCCATTTTGGGTATCCAATTTCTATACTGCCCACTTAGATCAACCCAGTTCTCTGAGGTGACAAACATGTTACTTGGTGTGAAGAGTCTTCATTCCAGTTGGAACCTTGTAAGTCTGCGTCCACAAGCAAAGTCAAATCAGGACAGGCCATCCATAAAGTCAGCAGCAATGTGCACCAGTTCAGAGGCTCAAATATCTGATCTGGTCAGGTTCAAGTCAACTCAATGTGGGCTGCCTCACTTCATCCTACCAGGGTGCCCATTGGTCGCCTTGCCTTTACATCATCAAGTTAATGGCTACTCAAAGTGACCCTGTAGGACAAGGTAGAGCTTCCTCGGTGAGTTTCTGAGACTGTAGTTGGTTACAGGAGTAGACAGCCCCGTCTTTCTCCCTCTGAGCGGCTGGTGATTTCAAACAGTGGATCTTGTGGATGCAGCCCATCATGTAACCACTGTGCCACCAGGGCCCCTCTGATTCTTTAGGACAGTCTCTCCTGCATTTTGTGATTGGAAAGGAGATTGCTCAAGAAACAGATTTAATATCAAAGGCTGAGCAAACTTGTCATGAAAAGGAGACCATATGACTTTGTTTGAAAAAATAAATCAGTTTCTTGAGGAGAGGCAATCTAGTTGAGAGACATATCTGCTAGCTTTCCCAGAAGATAACCAGCTCCATACCAGGTGGAGAAGTGCTGCATTAGACGGTTTGTGTGGCATCCTTCAGTTTCTGGATAGGTTAACACGTAGCTCTCATATAACAACATAGAAAGACTTAGTGGTTAAATTAGTAGGGCAGGGGCAATGAATGTACAAATGTGCTTTACACAATTGATGTGTGTATGGATTGTGATAAGAGTTGTATGAGCCCCTAATAAAATGATTTTTTTTAAAAACTAGGAAAAAAAAGAGAAAATTGGGGGGGGAAATGAGTAGGGCAGGCTTCTCTGAGTCTCTCAATAAGTGGTATACATTGTGACCTCCCAGGTGTCTAAGAACTCAATTGATTGTCGAATCCTTTTTTGATAACACATCTGGAACACTGATGGCAATGCTGCTTAAGCATTGGGCTCCGAATCTCAAAGTCAGTGGGTCAAACACACCAGCTGCTGGCGGGGAATATGAGGCTGTCTGTACCCGTAATGACTGACAGTCTTGGAGACCCAAGATGGGCTCGCTTATCAGGTCACTTTGAGTCAGAATTGGTTTGATGACAGTGGGGTGGTCGTTGGGTTTTCTGTTCCTGGAGCATCATTGGGGCTGAATGTTTTACATGTCCACACTGCACACCAGCTTAGGGTGTACACTGGACACCGCTTTTCCCTTCCTGCTTCTCTCCATCTCCAGCATGCCACCATCTCTCTCCCAAGTGGCTGTCCCATTTCGCACCACAGGGAACTAGAGTACAAGTTCCCCTCTTCACTTCCACCACCTTCTGCTAGAGGACACATGGCCGGGCAATTCAGGAATGTGTTGTCCTGGGCTCTGTTGCCACGTTAGACTTCTGCAAGTAGGCTTGTTGAAATTGGTGGTTGGAGCCTGACCTCCACCCCACTCACCATCCCACGCACACTGTCATTGTGTCAAATGAGCCTGACATGTTTCTTTTATAGCTAGCTTTTGCTGGTTTTTACCTTATTTGTTGCAAACAAACAATAAATCTTCAACCATTATTTCTAATTTTTTAGATTCATTTGCATACCTACAAGCCAAACCCATTGCCATCAGGTGAATTCTGACTCCTAAAATCCTGTCAGACAGAGTGGAACCGTGCATCCGGGGGTCTGGGCCTGGGTGAGGGGATTTCAGAACGTTTGTGGCCAAAAGACTCTTTCCATTTTCCCACAAACTGTGTGAAGGTGCCCCATCCATCTCTGCAGAAGCAGACGGCCTCATCTCTTGCAGGTGGAACTGCTGGTGGGTTATGTGTGGTTAGCAGCAGCTCCGACCGCCACACTCCTAGAGCTTCTGGACATTTGCTTCGGGGCCTCAGGTCCGAAAACTGTGTGGGTGATTTAACAAACAGCAGCAACAACATGATTTTAAGCAGTGCTACTTTTTAAAATTATGGAGGGAATATTAAATTTTAATCATTTATTTCTCATACTCCAGACTCACGTTCAATATTATCTTTGAAATCATAGATCTATATAGGTAATATTTTGTATTCTTCACCACCACCCCCCAATCCCTTGATTTCTGCACTATTCTTTATATTGGAGTGGCCTGCTAAGTCGGATGCTTTAATGTCTGTAGAACACTGAGATAGTGTCAAATGCAAGTGTACTTTTGAAGCTGTTTTTCTGTTACTTACTCCTGTATTTCTTCTACTGGTGTTTCCAGCCTTTTTGCAGTTTTAAAAGCGGTGGGTGTTGGCACCCTCCTCTGCATTTCCTTTTTCCTTCTGGCTGATCCCTCGGCCTGTCTTCCCATCGACAGAGCCAGCACACCTGACTGATTTCCTGCCGTGTGTGCAGCCATCGGTGACTCCCTAACCTCTTTCTCTTCTCTCTCTCTCTCTCTCTCTCTCTCTCTTTAACCATTTTATTTGAGGCTCATACAACTCTTATCACAATCCATACATACATCCATTGTGTCAAGCACATTTGTACATGTGTTGCCATCATCATCCTGAAAACATTGTCTTGCTAAACCTCTTTCTCTTCTGTGTTCTAGGTCCAGGAGCTCCATGAAGAGGAGGCCCAGTGGGTGAACTATGATGAGGATGAGTTGTGTGTGAAGATGCAGCTGGCTGATGGGATCTTTGAGACCTTGATCAGAGATACTATTGATGTTCTGAATCAGATCAGTGAAAAACAAGGGAGAATGCTACTTGTGTGACACCTTGGAAAATAAATTGAACACTGAGTGCTAATATGAGTCCTGGGCCTTTCTGCCTCCTGATACACCCCCCCATCTCCGTCATAGCAAGAGTGCTTCTGGACCTTCCACCTCTTCTTAAAGACCAGTGGTATGGAGCTCACGGGACAGTGTGGGATACCTGTACTGCAGCCTTGGCCTTTAGAGACTGTCCACGGGACGAATGGGCTATGGTCAGTGGGCAGGGTTGCACCCCTGATGTTGACACCCAGTAGAATTCTGCACTTCATTAACATCCCTGTTAAGTCTCAGATGAGGGCTGAAAACACCAGGCTTACCTCATAGTGTAGACTGGGCTATCCCTTCCTTGAGTCCGAAATCAGGCGAGAGAGCTCTTACTAGATATGTGCATCATATCATTTTTTTGAAATGTATTGCTGGCCTAAATCATGAGAGTCATAAATGGACCGTATAGTCTTTAAACAGTATTAACCCTACAACCACTTCTAAGTAGGCAAGTCTAACAGCGCGTGCCGGTTTGCCATTCTCTTGTTCATTTCTTCCTGAAGCCCATGTTCTTCCATCACTGCGGTTTAGCAGCACCAAATGGATGGTCAAGTCAGCTGAGCTGAGAGGCAGCCTTGCTTCCTACGCACCTCCTAAAGAGTGCTACCCCGTTGCTTTATTTCTCGCTTGTTTGTTCACATGGGGCTGAAAGCAAAGGCAGGCCTCTGGCAGACTGGGCTCAGAGGACTGGTGCTGCGTTGGTTCTTCCACCCACGTCGTGCCCTTGTCCTTTGCTTCTTCCTCCTGAACCTCTCCGAGCTACTCCCGGAATCACAGATACTCAGGACCATCTCAGGCACCAGGCATGGCGAAAGTGGAAATCATTCATTTTGGCCTTCATACCTTCAACTCCCATTTCAACCCAAGAAACCAGAGACGCTGTTATTTGAATGGCTTAGGAAATGAGTGTGCGCACCAAAGACAAAAATAGATTGTCTCTTATTTGTGTGCTTGTTTTATGCTATGGAACCTTTTTTTTTTTTTTAATTTATTTTAAGATAAATTATTGAGCTGAAAAAATGTGTCCCTATTCAGAGGTGAAAGATTGTTGTAATCGTTCAAACTTCTGTCTTGAAGCGTCTGTGGTTCATAATCTTTGCACAGAAAACCTACAGTTTGAACAAACCCATACACACATGGAAGAAGTCAGTGCAATTCAGTGACGTGATGAGCTCTTCTAAGCCCGCCTGCAGGAGCTGGAGTGAGATGAAATGGTTTGAAGACAGGGCTCAGCTCAGTCTCACCTCTCTTACCTTATAGCTTCTCACAACTCAATCCCTATGTCCCAAAGTGCACGCACTCCAGCTGCTGCACGAGAGTGGGCACGGCGCTCTCCCGAGGCCCGCCTCCTGCCTTCTCAACGGGCTTCTCCCATCAGTCCTGCCCTTCTTCAAGTGATCTCAAAGACTGCGGATAATCCTAGGCGTGAATGTAAATGCCTTAATATTGAAGGTCCTGACTAGGAGCATGATATAAGACATCCACTGGATTCATATTGACAAATATCCTGGAATGCTAGAACTTCAAAATACGTTAGAAAAATCCCAAAGATGGTATAATCTTTTCAGTGTGCATGCTCATCCATATTGTATCCCCCTCCAAATTTGCCTCTGCGGCTCCAGTTTCTTCACTGTGCACCCTTCCATGTCGCTTGGTTTCATCTTGTCATTAGGAGAAACACCTGAAGTCATGGGGATGCTTGCATCTTGCACGGTAACTGGTATGCTAGCTCTCGAGCGAGAAAGAAAGCTCTGACGTGTGGTCCGTTGCGGGTGTGCAGATGCCACCTGGGCTCCCTGGGTGGAGCTGTCGTGGAGCCATAGAGAAAGAAGCCAGCATGCCGGGTACTTACCAGTCGTGTGGGATGACTGCTCTCATGCCCAGGAGAAAAGCAAAGGCCTTTCTTAATTCATTATGTGTTACTTGGAAGACAAGAACGTCTTGTCTGCAGCCTTTGACTCTACTGTTTGCAGGATCACGTCCTTCTGATACGGAACCTTTACAGTGGCTGTAAGCTTTTTTTTATAAGTGAAGCTGAAATTACTATGATAGGAATAGAAGTCCTTTTTCTACATCTTCATGATTTGGGCCTGAAATAGATTTTTAATAGAAAAGCTTATGTTTACTTTTTATGGCATTTTGATCCCAGGAAAGGGAAAAGCCGTGAGCCGAGGCCAGGACTCAGTGGTCAGGCTCTGAGAGTCTCCGGAGAAGAGACGCTGCCGGGAACGGGGCACCCCTCACAGCCCCAGTCAGCCCGGGGTCCAGAGGAGGGGCAGGGACAGAGCTGGCACCCAGCCACTCAGTCCTTGGGATCTTCTTAATCATGCTCTGCCCCTTGACCAAGAGTCTAGATGTCCCCTCCTTCCCATCTTTGGTCATTCCCCGCAGCCCCTCCATCCTCCTCCTCTGTCTTTATGATCTTCGCCTCGGCAGCAATCCCTTGTAGAAGAGCACCATCAGAATTCAGTCCCAAGGCACCATCAGTTCCTTCTGAGTCCAAAATGATTTGTGCTCCCCAGGGCCCAGTCTCTGGTTGACATCAGTACAGGGTATAGCTCCCTCTTCAGGTCTAAACAGGAAGTTTTCCTCTGGGGAAAGTGGGAAGGAGCACGCGACAGTTCAAAAGGAAGGTCATTTATTTTTCTTTCACCTGAAAAGAAAAGAAATCCCTTCTGTGACTGTAGGTCTCTGCGAAAGTATCTTTCAAAAGAGATTTCATTGCTCCTGAGCATGTTGTGGCCTGTTGATAAAAACAATTTTGTTCACTTTCTTGTCTTGAAAAAAAAGTGGCCTTAGCTTTTTGCAATACTTGAATAAAGTGTGTACTCACAAAAGAGTTTCTGTAGCACAGCGTTAGAGACTCCTAACTTTTCTGCAAGAAGTTCTGACGGACTTACATCTCCCTTTTACTACCTTAAGAAAACTAGTGAGTAAGACAGTAATCCAGAAGGCAAATGATAGAGACTACAATGATGTTTAATGCAAATTGTAGGAATTTACATGTTTACAAATCATTTAACCTGGTTGTGCACCAATTCCATAAAATATCTTTGTATTATAAAAATGTGAAGAAAAAGATGTTAACTGATGTAAAGGAGGTACTGTCATTTTAACTAACCTATGTTTAATAGCTTTTCCTTCCGGACTTTGCAAAAACCTTCTTGGTTAAAAAAAAACAACAATTGCAAAAAGCATTCTCTGGGAGGCCCCACCTCCTTGTGTGTACTGTGCTGTGCAGACATGAAAAATAAACCCGCTTACTGTGTGTGTGTGAATAGCCTGGTCCTCAGGCCGTTTGCAGCCAGTCACCACATCCAGTGTGCAACTCTGCGCAGAAGACTTAAGGGTGTGGTTTTGTAAGTATGCTCTGTAAAATAACGGGGGGAATTCCCATGTATACCTGTGTAAATAGATTTGTTAACTGAAATGTACTTTAAGAAAGGATGAAATCTGTAAATAAACTGATTTATAAATTAGTTTCCTGTCAGGTGTTTTGTTCCCCACGGCTTTAGGTGCTGTTGTTGTTAGGTGCGCTGGTTCCCGAGCACAGCCGCCCTGTGCCTGAGCCCTTGTTGCAGCCCCTCGGTCTGTCCATCTCGCTGAAGGCCCTCCTCTGGACTTTGCCCAGCAGGATGCCCTCCTCCAGGGAATGGTCGCTCCTGACAAATTTACTTCTTGCTGATTCTCTGTTGGACACAAGGCCCTATGTTAGAGGAGAGCAAAGGTGAAGTGTGTGTCAGAGCAGATTGCCTGGATGTGAATGGCGATTGTGCACACATCAGAGCCACTGGGCTCTGACGGGCTCCTCACTGATCGTGTGGGCTGCCGGGGAGAGGGCTGGCCTGGCCTCATAGAGCCTGACTTCTGATGGAAGCGTCATTAAACAGTAGCTCCTAATCCTGCAACACAGCAACCTGACTCTTCACGAAATTTGGTTTTTAATAGGTTTGGGCAATCCTCTGCCGTTAGGAGGTGGAGCGCCATTGTCAAATGGCCAGTCTAGGACATGGAATGCCTTTTTCAAATGGAGCTTGCTCCTTCGTACCATCACCAACTCCAACCAAAGTTGGCCTGCGATCAAAGTACTCCTCAACCACTCTTGTAATGACTGGATAGCAAACAAGCATGAAATGTGAATGTGGGAAAAGGTGCGGAGGTTTGCAGTGCTTCCCACAAAGGAGGCGGATGCAGGGTTCTGGTGTGGTTCTAGAGTATGTACTTGAAGGACGGGGTGGGAGGCGTGCATCAGGGAGTTCTTGGATAAGGTCTACCTACCTCTTGTGCATTAATAGATGTCTTGCCCGTCATTCTACGTAATGCCATTTTTCTTGAGGACTTGGACTCGGCCCCCTGGTTATACACGCCCTTTGCAAAAGAACACACCTGGGAAAGTCACACACAGCTAAGTGGGCCACCTAGGAGAGCAGCCATCTGATGACTGGGTGTGGAGGCCAGTTTCTTTCTGGAAACCGAGGCTTGGAGAAGAATGGAGCTAGAGGACTGTGCTCAGCCCCCTCATCTCACCTGAATGCTCTGGTTTCCTCTGAATGGCCCTCCCTATGACTTCTTTAGCCCACAGCCTGGAGCATTAAAGAAACCCTGCTCTCCACTGCAGCAGAACTCTAAGGAATTCTGACACAGAAAGCAAGTATTGGAGACCCTTCTGTGGGCCAGATACTGTGCTTGGGGCTAAAGACAGTGATGAAGGAGAAGAAGATGACAAGGACCAAACACTTGCTGTCAGGGATTAAAATACATGCTGATGGAAGGAAGGCCATGGAAATGGATACTAGGAAGAAATCATACAATGCTCTACAAAAGCCAGGAGAGCTCAGGAATTGGAGGCACTGGCTACCATAGAAGGAGCTAGAAATAGGGGCTTCCATGTCTGAAAGGGATCATTTTCCCTCACTCCACCCACCCACCCATCTTGCCCGCCACTGCCTATGCCCTCTCCAGAACCCCCAGGAGGTAGTTTGTTCTGTGGAGACGGCCAGAGAAATCCCGAACTGGACAACTCCAGGCACAGCAAAGCATGGAGGGACCCTGTGAGGCTTATTCAAAACTTGCTTCTCCAGGAAGGTGAGTGGCCACATAAAAAGTTGCACACCAATGTGTGTAGGTGCTTTGTTGATAATTGGCACAATGGGAAGCAGCCAAGATACCCTTCAATAGCTGGTACATCAGAAAGGAGTATTACTCAGCAATAAAAGGGAACGAGCCTTCAAGTTATGAAAAGACTCGGAGGAGGGTGGAAAGCCAAATCCATCTGCAGACTCCTGGGTGACTCCCCACTGCCCACAGACTGGGCCTGGAACAGCCCTTGTACCAGACAAAGAGCACTGTGAAGAGGTTCTTTGCAACTCTACTTAGACTGGAATGTGACAGCTTGCCATTAGCTGGCCCTTTGGGCCAGTTTTCAGTTTATCCTAAATTTTGAATATTTGCTTTTTCTTAGACCTGAGGTCTTTCACATAATCTTGTTGCTGGGTCCCTTTATTTGTTTGCTTGACCTTGTTTCCTACGTTGGATCTGGACAGGGAAGCCTGGATTTATGAAGACAGTAACTAAAATAATAATTGCCTGAGGGCACAAAGAGGAGTGTGGGGGAATCCCAACTATGTGGGCACCCCCCACCCCAGAGGAATACACTTCAGAGGACAGTACTGAAGTTGCAGCTCAGGAAGTGCATCATGTCTGATCAGGAGCAAGCAGGGAAGGGGAGAGAGTAAAACACACCCCTGCCCACCAAGCCCTGAGGACAGACAGTATTCCGGGCCAGAGCAGCCAATGCACAGAGAGGATCACAGTCGGCCCCACCAGGATACACAAGGACATCTTTCGCTGTCGCACAGCGCTAAGGGGGACAGCACTGAGGACACAGAGAGGGAGATGTGATTTGACCCCACCACACCGGAGTGAAACACTAAGGGCATTCTCGGGAACAGTAAGGGGAGCAAAGCAACAAAGTCCCCGAGGAAGGCCAAAGGGGACTCGGGCCAGGGCGTGGCACCCCAGCAGACTCGACTGGAAAACACTCATAAAGGTCAACTGTTGGTTTTGTTTAGCTGTTGTTGATTTATTTTTGTCTTATTTTTTGTTATGTTTTGCTTTGTTTTTGTGCGTATTATTGTCCCTGCGTGTCTATCTGGACAAGATAGGTGGGATGAACAATCTGGAGGAGAGAACAATGGGACCCACGGTTCAGGTTAACATGGGAGAGGAGGAGGTGGGGGGAAAGGAGAGGGGTGCCAACAAATCCAGGGAACAAGGGAAGAATAAGTGATCTGAAATTGATGGCGAGGAAGGCATAGGATTCTTGGGGGGTTCGATCAAGGACAGTGTAGCCAAGACGAATTACCAAAACCCGAATGAAGGCTGAACATGATAATGGGACAAGAAGAAAGTAAAAGGAAAGTAAGAGGAAAGAACTGGGAGGCAAAGGGTATTTACAGAAGTCTAAATACAGGCATGTATCTATGTAAATACATTTATATATAATGATAGAGGAATAAATCTATGTGCATATATTTATAAAGTATTATGGCAGCAGATGGACATTTGGCCTCCACTCAAGTACTCCCTCAGTGCAAGAACAATTTGTTCTACTAACACAGCACTCTGTGATGTTCACCTTCCCTTACATGATTGCTGAAGATAGAAATGGGTGCATAAGCAAATGTGGTGAAAAAAACTGATGGTGCCCAGCTATCAAAAGATGTAGCATCTGGGGTCTCAAAGGCTTGAAGATAAATTAGCGGCCATCTAACTGAGAAACAACAAAGCCCACATGGAAGAAGCACACCAGCCTGTGTGATCACGAGGTGTCCATGGGATCAGGGATCAGGCATCAAAGAACCAAAACAAACAAAAAAATATCAATGGGAATGAGGGGGAGGGCAGAGTGGAGACCCAAAGCCCATCTGTAGACAATTGGATACCCCTGTCAAAAGAGTCACAAGGAAGAGACAAGCCAGTCAGGGTGCAGTATAGCAAATATGGCTAGACCAGAAGATGGACACTGGTACAGATAAGAGCTTGCAACACAGGAATCCAGAACAGATAAACTCCTCGGGACCAATAAGGGGAGCAGCGATGCTAGGAGGGGAAGGGAGGGAGGGGAGAGGAAGGGGGAACCTATCACAATAATCGATGTATGCCCCCCCTCTCAGGGGGATGGACAGCAGAAAAGTGGGTGAAAGGAGACAGCAGTCGGTGTAAGACATGAAAAACAAAAATGAATATAAATTATCAAGGGGACATGGGGGAGGGAGGGAAAAAATGAGCTGATACCAAGGGCTCCAGCAGAAAGAACATGTTTTGAAAACGATGATAACGTATGTACAGATGTGTTTGACACAATGGATATATGTATGGATTGTGACAAGAACAGTAAGAGCCTTCAATAAAATAAATTTTTTAAGGGGAGTGTGGGGTAAATGAGAAGTCAGCACTAATGGGCACAAGAAGGAAGAAAATGTTCCTAGGTTGATTGTGATGATTACACAGCTCTTTTTAATATGTTTGAACTACTGACTCAGGATGTGTGAATTACAGCTCAATAAAACTGAAAATAAAAAAGGTTGGCTTCCGCTCTCACAGCCACTGCGGTCCTTTGAGCTCCCTAGAGACAGCGCTGGGCCAGGCATCACCGGGTCGCATATGGGCGACTCTGCTCCTCGGATGAGATAAAAAGGATAACAGCATGGGGCAAAGAAGCCGAGAGGCAAAATGTCATCTTACGCATTTTCTGTGCAAACTTGCCGGGAGGAGCAGAAGAAGCACCCAGATGCTTCTGTCAATTTCTCAGTATTTTCTAAGATGAGCTCAGAAAGATGGAAGACCATGTCTGCCAAGGGAAGGGGACATGTGATGACCTGGCTAAGGTGGACAAGGCCCGTTATGAGAGAGCCATGGGGGTGGGGGTGGGGGGCGGGCACAGGGCACTAACCCACCCGAAGGGAGGGTATTGTTTATATCTCCACAGAGAAAAAGGGACCAGACTCAAGCCAGTGCTCCAAGATGTGAATGCAACATGCCAGCATGGAGTAGGGAACCAGTGGAGAGGTCTGAGGGACCGGCCCCAATCCCAACTCCTACATGTACACCTGCCCCTCACCCCAGAAGAATTTATTTCAGAGGACGGCACTGAATCTGCAGCTCCAGGAGAGGGACATGTCTGATCAGAGCACACGGGAGCAAATGAAGGGGGAGGAAGAAAGAGTGGAGCAAGTCTTGACCCACCAAACCTTGATGAAGAGATTCACGCTTAGAGCAGCCAATCCACAGAGAAGACCACATGGCCGGCCCCACTATGAGATGCGACATCCCTCACTGACCCATAGTATCCCTACAGGGGACAACACTGAAGACACAGTGTGGGAATTGCACCCGATCTGATCCCACCACACCGAGGCAAAACACTAAGGGGTTGCAACAGAACAGCAAGGGAATGGAGCGGCAAAGTCCCCAGGGA